TTTCCTCACCCCTGATTTATCTCTCCATCCTCCTTCTTTCTTTCTTTCCCCATCCCCTTGTCTTTCTTTATTTCTCTTCCCGTCTTTCTTTCTACTCAGTTTCTCCCTCCTCTGTCTCTTTTTTTGCCCTTGTTTCCTCTCTCCCCCCTTTTCTCCTCTCTCCCTTCTTCTTTCCTTCTTCTCTCCTCCTCCCTTCTTTCTTTCTTTCTTTCTTTTTCTCCTCATCCTCCTCTCTTCTTTTCTTTCCCAGAAGTCAGCAATTTCCTCGCAAAGTTCATCAGTCTCTCTCCCTCTTTCTCTTTTTTTTCCCTCTCTCCTCATCCCTCATTTGTCTATTTTATCCTCCGTTCTTTCTCCCCCCCGATCCCCCTCTTCTCATCCCCCATTATTTATCTTTTCCTCCGTCCTTTCTCCCTCAATCCCTCTCTCCTCTGTCTCCCATTTTTGCCCTCTTCTCTCTTCTTTCCTTCCTCTCTCCTCTCTCTTTCCACTTCGTAAGTCGGTCTCTCGCTCTTTCTCTCCGTCTGCTCCCCTCTCTCTCCTTTCTCTCTTTCTTTACCCCCCATTTATCTATCCATCTATCCTATCCTTCGTTCTTTCTCTCTCCTCTGTCTCCCATTTGTCTTCTTTCCTTCGTCGCTCCTCTCTCTTGCCGGGTTATAAATTAATCTCTCTCTTTCTTTCTCTCCCTCTGCTTCCCCTCTTTCCTCTATCCTTTCCTCCTCTCTTCTTTCTCCTCCCTCCAATCTCTCCTTCATTTGCCCTCTTTTCCCCTCCCCCCAATCTATCGTTCCCTCTTAAAAGTCAGAGTTTTCCTCACAGGGTTCATAAGTCTCTCTCTCTTTCTCTCTTTTTCTCTCCCTCTGTTCCCTCTTTCCTTTCTTTCCCCGCTCCGTTTATCTCTCCCATACCAACACCTCTCTCTCCTTTCTCTCTCTCTTTTTCTCAGTCACCTTCAATCACCCTTTCCCCGTCTCTCTCTCTCTCGTCCTCTTTCTCTCTCATCTTTCTCTCTCTCACTCTATTCCTGCTCTCAACGCTGCCCTCTTTCTCTCACTCTTTTTCTCCCTCTGTCCTCTCCCTTCATCTTTCTCCCCGTTTCTCTCTCCATCTCTCTCTCCTCCCCCTCTTCCTGTCTCACTCTCTCTCCATCTTGCCCCTTTCTCCCTCGCTTCTCTCCCCCTCTCTCCTTTCTCCATTAACCCTCCTCTTCCTCCTTTCTCTGTTCCTCCTCTTCTCTCTCCTCTCTCTCTTGCTCTTCCCCTTTTTCTCTCCCCCTAACCCCTCTCCTCACCTCCCTCCCTCTTCCTCCTCCCTCTCTCTCTCCCCTCCTCATCTTCTCCAATTTTCCTCTCTCTCTCTCTCTCTCTCTCCCTCCCTCCCTCACTCTCCCCCTCTTCCTCAGCTCTCTTCTTCTCCTCCTCTTTCTCTCACCCTTTTCTTCTCCCCCTCTTCCTCTCCCTCACTCTTCAACCTCCCATTCCCATTCTCCTCCCATCCTCCCCCCATCATCCTCTCCTCTCTCCTCCCTCTCTCCCCCTCTTTCTCCTCAGCTCACCGCTCTCCTCCTCCTCTCTCCTCCTCTCTCTCCTCTCGTCTCTGCTACCGTTCCTCTCCTCCCCCCCTCCTCTCACCCTCTCGTCTCTCTTCCCCTCTTTCTCCCCCCGTTCCTCTCCTCCCTCCCCCTTTCTGCCTCTTTTTCTTATCCTCTCCATCTTTCCTCTCCCCTCCCCTCTTCTCTCCCAACTCTCCTCCCCCTTTCCTCTCTCCCTCTCCTCTCTCCTCTGCCTCTCCCCCTCTCTCCTCCCGTTCCTCTCCTCTCCTCCTTCTCCTTTCTTCTCTCCTGTTCCTCTCCTTTTCTTCTCGTCCCTCTGTCCCTCTCTCCTCCCCTGTTCCTCTCATCCTCCCTCTCCCTCTCTTTTTCTTCCTCTCCTCTCCTCCCCTCCCGTGTTCCTCTCCTTCTTATCCCTCCTCCCTCTCCCTCTGCTCTTCCCTGTTCCTCTCCTCTCTCCCTCTTTCCCTCTCTCTCTCCTCCTCTCCTCTCTCTCTCCTCCTCTCCTCTCCTCCTCTCCTCTCTCTCTCTCTCCTCTCCTCTCTCTCTCTCCTCTCCTCTCTCTCCTCCTCTCTCTCTCTCTCTCTCTCTCCTCTCTCTCTCCTCTCTCTCTCTCTCTCCTCTCTCCTCTTCTCCCTCTCTCCTCTCCTCTCCTCTCTCTCTCTCCTCTCCTCTCCTCTCTCCTCTCCTCTCTCCTCTCCTCTCTCCTCTCTCCTCTCTCCTCTCCTCTCTCCTCCTCTCTCTCTCTCTCCTCTCTCTCTCCTCTCTCTCTCTCTCCTCCTCTCTCCTCTCTCCTCTCCTCCTCTCTCTCCTCTCTCTCTCTCTCTCTCCTCTCTCCTCTCCTCTCTCCTCTCCTCCTCTCCTCTCTCTCTCCTCTCTCTCCTCTCTCCTCTCCTCTCTCCTCTCTCTCCTCTTCTCTCTCTCTCTCCTCTCTCTCTCTCTCCTCTCCTCTCCTCTATCTCTCCTCTCTCTCTCCTCTCTCCTCTCTCCTCTCTCTCTCTCTCTCCTCTCTCTCCTCTCTCTCTCTCTCTCTCTCTCTCTCCTCTCTCTCTCTCTCTCTCTCCTCTCCTCCTCTCCTCTCCTCTCCCTCTCTCTCTCCTCCCCTCTCATCTCTCCTCTCTCCTCCTCCTCTCTCCTCTCCTCTCTCGTTGTTCCTGTCGTCCGTGTGAGTGATGTCAGCGTGTTGTTCCTGAAACTCTGACATCAGAGCTGGATTCCTGGAGCAGTTTGAGGCAGTGGTGTATTTTCCTGCGCTCGTCCGGTCAGTGAAGGCGTCGGCTCCGGGCAGCGGCCGCGCTCACGTTCACTTTACAGTAAGACGCCGGGTCAGGTGAGCGCGGCGGCGGCGGAGGCGAAGGCGAAGGCGGCGGGAAGAGCCCGTGTCCAGTCTATTTACAACATCACCAAAAACCTTTCAGATTTAAACTCACAAGAAATGAAACAAATCAAATCAACAGAAACATCAGAGCAGCTCCAGACTCCACACGAGGAGACGTGAACCTTTCACCGTCTCAACCGTGTCTCAAGTGGTTTTTCCTTCTCGTTTCACCTCCGTGTTTTATTTAAAGTGATTTAAACATGTTTGAGTCTTTAATCTCCTGTATTAAAGACGCCATCGCTACAAAAATGTCCCTCACCCCCATAAAGTTTTTTTTTAATTGGTGATACATGAATTTGGCAGGAACGTGTATCGATTTTTGCACTTGAAAATCTGGTTAAACAGAGACGACCACACAGTTACTCAAACATTTACGGCGTTGAAACGTAAAGAGACATTTGTCTCGACCAAACAGCAGCGACTGGTTAAATAACAAAAGTACTCGCCTACTGTCGAGTGAATGAATCCTAATGCTCCCACAGACCACAGGTGATAACCTGCTACTGTAGCCACAGCTGCCCTGGGGCAGACTGACGGAAGAGAGGCTGCCAATCTGCACCATCGGTCCCTCCGACCACCACCATCACTCACACACACTCCACTTTCATACCAGGCAATGTGGGTGAAGTGTCTTGCCTAAGGACACAACAACAGTTTTTGCCACTGGTGCCTCCTGTGGCTCCTGATTTTCCCAGTGTCTCCATCCAAACACCAACCAGGCCCAGACCTGCTGAGCTCCTGAGATCTGACGAGATCAGGCTTGACAGGCCGGTATGAACACATAAAGTACTGAAGAAGTACTGAAGAAGTATGAAGAAGTACTGAAGTACTGAAGAAGTACTGAAGAAGTACTGAAGAAGTACTGCTGTATTACCTTTATACGGATGCACCATTCCGTCCATCATGGACACGGAGTCGTCGGGCTGAAGCTGCAGAGACACGTCGCTCACAGCCTCCACCAAATCTGAGAAGAAATCTGCCACTTCAGCGCAGTCGTCCAGCAGCACGTACCGGTCCTGTCTGTTTGTGAAGTACGACTCGCTCAGGTTTGCTCTGGAACAGGACCAGAGGTTAGGACAAAGATACTGCAGTAACAGTACTAGTAATAGTACTAGTACTAGTATTAGTATGTAGTAGTATTATTTGTGTTACCCGCTGATGATGACGCTGTCGTCAAACAGATAAACTTTAATGTGCTGGACCCCGATGGTCTCGTTGAACCTCTGAGGGACGAGGAGGCGGAGCAGCCCCCTCAGGTCCGGAGTGTGATACAGAGACACTCGGACCTGAGAAGTGAAGCGAGACAAGAGCGGCAGCAGCATCGTACGAGAGTTATCTGAACCTGACGAGAGAAAGACCCGTGATAAGAGCTGGAGGAACTGCAGACTCATCTCATGTTGTGTTGTCTACACCATCTCTTCTCTTATTATCATTATTATCATTATGATCATTATGATCATTATGATCATTATTATCATTATTATCATTATGATCATTATTATCATTATGATCATTATGATCATTATTATCATTATGATCATGAGACGCTGAATCTCCCTGTCGAGGGACAAAGGCTTTTGATTTGATGAACTGATCTGTCCAGCCACAGGTGGGACCAAGTCAATGTTTTGTGAGTCTCAACTAAGTCTCAAGTCTTTGACCTCAAGTCTGAGTCAAGTCTCAAGTCAAATACAGACAAGTCCAAGTCGAGTCTCGAGTCACTGGCCCATTAGTCCAAGTCAAGTCCAAGTCGTCTGCTTTGAGCTTCAAGTCATTTCAAGTCTTTAAACCAAAGTACCAATGGTTTTTAAGCTAAATTGTAAAAAGTCATGGTAGATTTATATTTGAGTATTTATATAAGAGTTGTAGAAATGCTAATTTTTCCTTTTTAAATGTCGTGTCAAGATGTTAGTGTGAATCATTACAGTCAGAACAGAAAGAATTCAGATTTAAAAGAGCTAAATAACAGTTATTTTGTCGTGTTTCTGCACTGAAATGGAAAGATCATGTTCTCTGTAATTCCCTCTGTTTTACTGTATTGTACTGTATATTACTGTATTGTACTGTATATTACTGTATTGTACTGTATATTATTGTATTGTACTGTATATTACTGTATTACTGTATTGTATACTGTATATTATGTATTACTGTATATTATTGTACTGTATATTACTGTATTGTACTGTATATTATTGTATTGTACTGTATATTACTGTATTGTACTGTATATTACTGTATTGTATTATATTACTGTATTGTATTCTGTATATTGTACTGTATATTATTGTATTGTACTGTATATTACTGTATTGTACTGTATATTACTGTATTGTACTGTATATTATTGTATTGTACTGTATATTATTGTATTGTACTGTATTTATTGTATATTACTGTATATACTGTATATTACTGTATTGTACTGTATATTACTGTATTGTACTGTATATTATTGTATTGTACTGTATATTACTGTATTGTACTGTATATTATGTATTGTATTGTACTGTATATTGTATGTACTGTATATTATTGTACTGTATATTACTGTATTGTACTGTATATTACTGTATGTATTGTTGTACTGTATATTTATTGTATTTACTGTATTTCTGTATACTGTATATGTATTGTACTGTATATTACTGTATTGTACTGTATATTATTGTATTGTACTGTATATTACTGTATTGTACTGTATATTATTGTATTGTACTGTATATTACTGTATTGTACTGTATATTATTGTATTGTACTGTATATTACTGTATTGTACTGTATATTATTGTATTGTACTGTAGTACATTTGAGTATCACAGTACTTCAGTTACTGTTGCCATAGTTACAAACAGAAGTGGGAGGGACATGTTCCAACTGAAAAGTGAAAAGTTTTTTCTAAAACCATATATTTTTAGCAGAAGCATCAAGTCTTCTCAAGTCACAGGCTTCAAGTCCGAGTCAAGTCCCAAGTCTTAGTCAAGTCCCGAGTCCTAAAAATAGTGACTCAAGTCTGACTGGAGTCAAGTCAGATCAAACAGAAGCACAAGTCTTGGTCTGGACTAGGGACGGGCATTCGATGAAATTTTCTTAATCGATCGTCGGAAGAATTAACGATCGATTATCGATTAATCATTAACGTTTTTATATTAAAATGATCATCATTATTATTACTATCTGCACTAATCTGCATAAATAAATTCAACTTTACCACATATAAACTGTAACGACTCTAGAGCCACATCAGCCCGTTTGACATTATAATGTGTTTAATTCAGTTTTGTTCAAATCTCACAGAAACAAAACTTAAAACCACATCACTAATTTACATAAACTCAGCGAAGATAAAACTCCAGCTCTTGTGTCGCTGATGTGGTTCCACTTGTCTGTCGGATTAAAAGACATGACTCAGGTGAATACAGGTCAGTGTGACCAGATTTGTGTTTGTCAAAACCAGGACAGCGTACGGGGGGAGGGGGGCGGGGCCTCGTCATCCACATTGAGCGACTCTCACCTGGAAAAACTTTTTCCCACTGGACACAGAAACATATGTGCTGCTTTATACACTGTGCACATGGACTCACACTTGTCCCAACGCAACGGAAAGTGTGGAATTTCTTGTACAAATCATCGTTAAATCCACATTTGTGCTTCGGTTCGTTACAGACTGACCCACTGTTTGTGTCTCGCTCCTTCTGATGCAGAGACACATGTACACACCTGTTTGGTCACGACACACACAGCAACATACATTCGGTTTGTCGATTAAAAATGAACGTAATCGATGAAATTCTTAATGATCAATTATCGATTAATCGATTAATCATGCCCATCCCTAGTCTGGACCTCAACATCTCAGATCCAGTTCAACCTGGTTTCCACTGTACAGTTTTATAATAATAACAACACTAAAACAAGGACGGGACAAACAAAACAATAATGAGGATCAGTCGTGTGTGTGGGGGCTGTGGGCTGTGAGGAAAAGTTGGGTTTTGAACAGTTTTTTGAAGGTGTTTCGTGAGCGTGAGGGCGGCCAGGGCAAAGGTTCAGTTATAAGACGTTCTGACTGTCACACTACACACTGGATGACGGCGCACACCACCAAAGCAAATATAACAACAGTAACAGTTAACATAAACATAAACAGTAGTATTTCAGGCCCACCTCTGGATCCTCGTGTGTAGTCCAGCAGCACTGACACTCTGAGTCTGGAGCTGTTTTCCTCAGAACGTTCCAGAGCCTCCTCCATACACTCCACCTACAACAACACGGAAGAAAATATACAAGAGTCAACTTTAAAGGCTCATATTTTACTGTTTTCTGATGTTCCGATGCTGTTTCCTCGTCACAAACAGACCTGGAGTTGTGTTTTGTTTCATTCACACATGTTAAACTCGCAAACTTTGCACATTTAGGCTGAATTCTTCTCAGAAAACACTCTGTTCCACCCTGTGATGTCACGTGGTAACACAGGAAGTGCTCCACTGTGTTCCCTGTGTTCGTACACCTTCACTAGTATCACATTTGGATCATTTCAGGCCTGGAATTGCCGGTTCAAGGTTCAAAATTTGCTTTATTGTCAATTTCTTCACATGTACTAGATATTTATTTGGTCATTTTCAATTATGTTCAATAATAATTTTCAATAATGTTAAATTTTTGATGTATTCATAAGGTGGAGGCTCTTTTGGGTTTTTTGTCCCCGTCTGGCAACTGCTTTTTTTAAATCTAGTGGGGTTTTTTTAATTGTTATGTTATATACATGCAAAAAAAAAAAATACGTTTCTCTTTGCACATAAATGTCTTTTACTTTAATATTTGTCCTGTCTTCTCCACACATGGGACAGAGACACAACAAATAACATCATCTCCAACGACTACAGTAACAACAGATAAATAAATGAAGCTAAAAACACTTGTGTTCAGGACAGTGCAGATCACGTCAGATCGAGTCTTATCAGAAGAAACAAAAGTCAGTTTCTTATGTGGGTCTAGTGCAAATGGTAAATATTAACGGTGTAATGGTTCATGTATTCATGCTGGACTGTTTCGTTACAGGATGTTTGGTTCGGTGCAGGACTGTGCACGAGTGAATTCGCGTAATTTGTGTGTTTACATTCCACCACTACATGTGCAGCTACACAGACACTCGGCTCTTTAATATTCATGAGGGAACTGGTCCGTGACTGGGGTGACAGTGTTTCAGCGCTTTATAGTTAGAGCGACCGCCTTCACAACAACTGCCCCCGTCTTGACTACGTCCCTCTGAACCACTTGAATCCTCGCAAAACTACGGTTGTCGCGCCGCGGACCTTACTTTTGCTGGCACAAAATCCCCCCACCCCCCTTTTTTTTCATTAATAATTTTATTTGAAAACTACATTTATAACTGCAGCTGATGGGCTCTTACTGTAGACAATGTGGACAAGTTGGTTTTTCTGGCCAAATATCTGAAGCTTGAGTAAAACTTCATCCTGGAACCGTTAGTGCTGCACTTTACTTTTTGGAAAGCTTTGTTTACAAGATTTTTTTTTTTTAAATAATATATTTATATATATATTTCATACTAGGCAATGTGTTATGTTATATTATATATAATATTTCATACATTTGTTGCTTATTTGAGAATATTTTATTTAACTTAATATTACCGAGCAGCACTTTGCATTTATTTGACTTTCCCGTTTGTATAATGTTAAAACAAATTGTTGGTTTAATAAAAACACAAACAAACAACAAAAAAATTGTTTCGTATTTTGTTCCCAAACTGAACCGAAAAAAAACAAACTGTGACCTCAAAACCGAGGTTCGTACTGAACCGTGATGTTTCTGAACCGTTACAGCCCTGGTAAATAGTGCGATCTCTACTGAACACAAGGTTAAATGTGTCACTCTTAACTTAAAAAATACCACTTCATGACATCACAAGTTGGAGCAGAGCATGTTGAGCTTTGGAGACGTAAACAGATGAATAATAAAAGGTTTAACAAACTTTGGGCTGTTTTTGAAGAGGAAACAACACGACTTTAAGCTCGCAAGAGTCAATTTTGAGTAATAAAGACGTTTAAACAACAGACCTGAGCTTTTATTTGTACATCTCGTTTTAAAATCCCACACACAGATTTGATCCGAGCAGGAAAACCCAGAGAATCTCTATCTGCATTTCTCAGGTTCGTTCAAACATTTGCCAAAAGGAACGAAAATTCCTTTTGGTTTTGATTTGCAAATGTGCGGCGGAGTCTGAATTATTCGCAGACATGCCTTGGCCCAGGTGCTTTTCAAATCAACACGACGAACGCGAGCCGCCGGCACAGACCCGGTGTGGCCCGCTGTTGTTTTTGGACGGACGCGGCCTTGAACCTCGGCCCCACACCTGCCGCCGCCGCCGCCGCTGTTTTCTCGCGCGCCCAAACACGTATTAAAGTATCGCCTTTCGGGACATTTAGCTCAAAAATCCCAGCGCTGTTGGTTTTGTAGATCAGGTAATCCATCATCGTCGAGGCTCGAGCCGTAATTAAAGCAGGGCCCGTTTGATTTGCACTTTTCTGCGATTCGTCTCCGAGCAGAAACTGAAAAAAAAAAGATGAATTTGAGGTTTTGGGGGATTTTTGTTTTGTTGTCGTTTTTCCAGGTTTTAAGGAGAAAAGAGGCCGTGTCCGTCACTTTACCTCCACTCACACTCTCTTCATCCCTTTCTCTTCCCTCTTTCACAAGTCCAAGTCGAGTCTCGAGTCACTGGCCCATTAGTCCAAGTCAAGTCCAAGTCGTCTGCTTTGAGCTTCAAGTCATTTCAAGTCTTTAAACCAAAGTACCAATGGTTTTTAAGCTAAATTGTAAAAAGTCATGGTAGATTTATATTTGAGTATTTATATAAGAGTTGTAGAAATGCTAATTTTTCCTTTTTAAATGTCGTGTCAAGATGTTAGTGTGAATCATTACAGTCAGAACAGAAAGAATTCAGATTTAAAAGAGCTAAATAACAGTTATTTTGTCGTGTTTCTGCACTGAAATGGAAAGATCATGTTCTCTGTAATTTCCTCTGTTTTACTGTATTGTACTGTATATTATTGTATTGTACTGTATTGTACTGTATATTACTGTATTGTACTGTATATTATTGTATTGTACTGTATATTATTGTATTGTACTGTATATTATTGTATTGTACTGTATATTACTGTATTGTACTGTATATTACTGTATTGTACTGTATATTATTGTATTGTACTGTATATTACTGTATTGTACTGTATATTATTATTGTATTGTACTGTAGTACATTTGAGTATCACAGTACTTCAGTTACTGTTGCCATAGTTACAAACAGAAGTGGGAGGGACATGTTCCAACTGAAAAGTGAAAAGTTTTTTCTAAAACCATATATTTTTAGCAGAAGCATCAAGTCTTCTCAAGTCACAGGCTTCAAGTCCGAGTCAAGTCCCAAGTCTTAGTCAAGTCCCGAGTCCTAAAAATAGTGACTCAAGTCTGACTCGAGTCCAAATCAGATCAAACAGAAGCACAAGTCTTGGTCTGGACCTCAACATCTCAGATCCAGTTCAACCTGGTTCCACTGTACAGTTTTATAATAATAATAAAACACTAAAACAAGGACGGACAAACAAAACAATAACGAGGATCAGTCGTGTGTTTGGGGCTGTCGGCTGTGAGGAAAAGTTGAGTTTTAAATCAGGGCCCGTTTGATTTGCACTTTTCTGCGATTCGTCTCCGAGCAGAAACTGAAAAAAAAAAAGAAGATGAATTTGAGGTTTTGGGGGATTTTTGTTTTGTTGTCGTTTTTCCAGGTTTTAAGGAGAAAAGAGGCCGTGTCCGTCACTTTACCTCCACTCACACTCTCTTCATCCCTTTCTCTTCCCTCTTTCACCCTCCTCCTCTCTTTTTCCTCTCCCTCATTCCTCCACACTTTCTCCCCTCTCTCGCCCACTTTTTCTCTTTCTCCTCCTCTCTCACCCTCCTCCTCAGTTTCTCTTCTCTCTCTTCCTCTTTCTCCTCTCCCTCTCACCCTCTTCCTCCTTTCTCCTCTCCTCTCCTCTCCCTCTCACGCTTTTCCTCTCTATCTCTTCTCTTTCATCCCCTCATTCCTTTCTCTTTTCTCTCTCTCTTCCTCCTTTTCTTCTCTCTCACCCTCTTCCTCCCCTTCTCCTCTCTCTCACCCTCTTGATCCTTTTCTCTTCTCCCTCTCTCACCTCTTCCCCTCTTTCTCTTCTTTTCTCTCCCTCTCTCATCCTCCCCCTCTCTTTCTCTTCTCTCTCTCAACCCCTTCGTCTCTTTCTCCTCCCCTTTCTCTCACCTTCTTCTTCTTTCTCCTTTCCTTCTCTCTCACCTTCTTCCTCTCTTTCACCTCTCCATCATTCTCACCCTCTTTCTCCCTTTCTCTTCTCTCTCACCCTCTCTTTCTCTCCGTCTCTTATTTTCTTCCTCCCTTTCTCTTCCCCTCTTTCACCCTCTTCCCTGCACACTTTCTCTCTCTTTCTCACCCTCATCCTCTTTCTCTTCTCTCTCTCAGCCTCTTCCTCTCTTTCTCCTCCTAACCCCCCTCCCTCATCATCCCTTTTTCTTCCCCTCCATCCCTCCTCCACTCCCCCCCTTTTGCTCCCCTCTTCCTCCCTCTCTCACCCTCTTTCTCACTCTCTCCTCCACCTGCGAGCGCCCTCTCTCTCTCTCTTCCTCCCTTTCTTCTCCTTTCTCTCACCCTCTTCCTCTCTTTCTCCTCTTCCTCTCCCACCCTCGTCCTCTCTTTCTCTTCTCTCCCTCTTTCTCCCCTTCTTCTTCTCTTTCTCTTCTCCTTCTCTCTCATCCTCTCCTCCTCTTCTCTTTCCTCCACACTTTCTCCCCTGTCTCTCACTCGTTTTCTCTTTCTCTTCTCTCTCTCACCCTCTACTCTCTTTCTCTCTCCTCCCATTCACCTTCTTCTCTTTCTGTCCTCTCTCTCACCCTCTTCTTCTCTTTCACCTCTCCTTCATTCTCATCTCCCTTTCTTTTCTCTCTCTTTCACCTCTCTTCACTTCTCATTCCTCTCTCTCTCTCTCACCTCTCCCTCTCTTTTATCTTTTTTCTTCATCCCTTTCTCTTCTTTCTCACCCTCTTCCTCTTTTCACCTCTCCCTCACCCTCTTCCTCCCTTTCTCTCCCCCTTCCACACTTTCTCCTCTCTCTCTCACCTTCCTCTCTTTCTCCTCCCCTTTCTCTCACCTTCTTCTCTTTCTCCTCTCCTTCTCTCTCATCCCGTTCCTCTCTTCCTCCTCTCTCTCTTTCCTCCACACTTTCTCCCCTGTCTCTCACTCGTTTTCTCTTTCTCTTCTCTCTCTCACCCTCTACTTCTCTTTCTCCTCTCCTTCTCATTCACCCTCTTCTCTTTCTCCTGTCCTTCTCTCTCACTCTTCTTCTCTTTCACCTCTCCTTCATTCTCATCTCCCTTTCTCTTTTCTCTTCCTCTTTCTCCTCTCCCTCACTCACCCTCTTCATTCCTTTCTCCTCTCTCTCTCACCCTCTCCCTCTCTTTCTCCTCTCTTATTTTCTTCATCCCTTTCTCTTCTTTCTCACCCTCTTCCTCTTTTCACCTCTCCCTCACCCTCTTCCTCCCTTTCTCTCCGCCTCTTTCCCCTCTCCCTTCCACACTTTCTCCTCTCTCTCTCAGCCTCTTCCTCTCTTTCTCCTCCCCTTTCTCTCACCTTCTTCTCTTTCTCCTCTCCTTCTCTCTCATCCTGTTCCTCTCTTCCTCCTCTCTCTCTTTCCTCCACACTTTCTCCCTCGTCTCTCACTCGTTTTCTCTTTTTCTTCTCTCTCTCACCCTCTACTTCTCTTTCTCCTGTCCTTCTCTCTCACCCTCTTTCTCTCTTTCACCTCTCCTTCAGTCTCATCTCCCTTTCTCTTCTCTCTTCCTTTCTTTCTCCTCTCTCTCACGCTCACCCTCTTCCTCCCTTTCTCTCCGCCTCTTTCACCCTCTTCCCTCCACACTTTCTCCTCTCTCTCTCAGCCTCTTCCTCTCTTTCTCCTCCCCTTTCTCTCACCTTCTTCTTCTCTTTCTCCTGTCCTTCTCTCACCCTCTTTCTCTCTTTCTCCTCTCTCTCTCTTCCTCTCTTTCACCACTCCTTCATTCTTATTCTCTTCCTTTCTTTCTATCTATCTCTCTCACGCTCTTCCTCTCTTTCACCCTCTTCCTGTCTCACCCTTTTCATCCCTTTCTCCTCCAACTTTTACCTTTGGCTCCCCCTCCGTCTCTCCTTCCATCTTTCCCTCAACCCCCCTCCTTTATCATCCCTTTTTTTTTTGCTTCCCCTCCACCTTTCCCTCTCCTCTCCCCCTCTTTTTCATTCTCTCCTCCGCCTGTGCCCTCTTTCTCATCCTCTTCCTCTCTTTCTCCTCCTCCTTTCTTCTCCTCTCTCTTTCTCTCACCCTTGGATGACACAGGACCCTTTTTTCCTCCTCCTCTCTTCTCCTCCTCCTCTTCGTCTCTTTAGTTCTGAGTTTGTTTTTAGTGTGTGACTCATTTTTTCTGGCTCTTTCTCTTTATTATTTTGGGTTTTTTTGGCGGTGACAGTTTCTTTTTCTCTCACACCTGCACAGAAAAACACTCGGGTGATAAAAATCGTTTCAGGAGAGTCTTCAGAGCGACGCTTTATTCACGACCCCGGTTTGGAGTTAGAATAATGTTTGCGCGCCGAAAACAACTTAGAGCGTTTGACGGATTAATATGGTTTTTAAATGGTTGCTTTGGTTGGCGGGAGAGACGCCGGGTCATCGTTTTACATCAGAGAAGTGAAGAAAAGTAGAAAACAGCCGCGGTGTCGACCTCCGTGAAGTCGACCTCATCAAACGCAAATCTGCAGCACAAATATGACGATCGTTTGAGCTGCGAGAAGTTTCACTTGTGCTGCTTTAGTTTCTGAGATATTAACAATTCTTTTATAGGTCAAATTAAAGGGATAGTTTGGATTTTTTGACATAAATCTGTATGTCATCCCCGTCATCCACACCGACTTACCCCCGAAAGCGTCCGGTGAGCCGAGATACTGGCCCGTTTTGGTGCTGAGGAAAGTAGTTCGGCAAGTTGTGTGGGGACTGTTTACTAAAGCGTTTTTCTTCTCAAAGCAACATGTGTTCAAAAGAGTGATACATTTGCATAACAAAACCATCGTCGCCAAAAAAGTCAGACCTCATAATCGCTTGGCGCTATTTTCTCTCCGTACGTACCACTGCGCGCGGCCGCCAGGTGACAGCCGCGCACCGATCCATCACTTTCTTCAGTTGTTCGGCAGTGTTTACATGCGCAGACGCCGCCACGCGAGAGAGCTAACGAGAGAGCTAACGAGAGAGCTAACGAGAGAGCTAACGAGAGAGCTAACGAGAGAGCTAGAGCCAGAAGTATATGAGCCTGGTTCACTTTGTTTACTGCTCGGAATGTTAGCGACAACATGTCTGATTATGACACCGACAATAAAGACTTTGCCTTTACCACAAACCCAAGGGGAGATCTTTGTGAACCCGAATATTCTGATGCCGAATTTCACCAGATGGAGTTAGAACGAGCAGAGAGAGAAAAGACAGAGAAGTGGTACAAGTTGAAGCTGGAGCCGTGAGAGACCGAGTGAGCGACAATCACCATCACGTCATTTATAAACTCATATACAGCGAACATAGAGCCTCCACTGTGACTGAAGTATGGACGACTAACAGAAACATAGAATCATCCACACGTCCACGTAGCTGCTGCCAATAGTGTACGTGACATTTACAATAGTAATAACAGTCGACTTATAAAGTTACGTTTTGTAGAAGCTTCACTGGTGATATGACACTGAGTGATTTACTGCACACAGAGTTACAGCTGATTCTTGAAGTCTGTTCTCTTGTAAACACAGCGGCACTTCTTCGTTCTTACCTGGTTTGGTTTCCACATTGAAGCCAAAGGCAAGAAGCCAAAGTTTCCTCAGCGCAAAGTCCGTGACAGGAAAACAGTGAAATGTGTGTGGAGATTCAGCCAGATTTTTGTTGTTACAGCCTGGAGAATCAAGAGTTCGCACCATTTTTTAGATATATTCATATGTATCTTATACAAGCTCATATACTTCTGGCTCTAGCTCTCTCGTTAGCTCTCTCGTTAGCTCTCTCGTTAGCTCTCTCGTTAGCTCTCTCGTTAGCTCTCTCGTTAGCTCTCTCGTTAGCTCTCTCGTTAGCTCTCTCGTTAGCTCTCTCGTTAGCTCTCTCGTTAGCTCTCTCGCGTGGCGGCGTCTGCGCATGTAAACACTGCCGAACAACTGAAGAAAGTGATGGATCGGTGCGCGGCTGTCACCTGGCGATTATGAGATCTGACTTTTTTGGCGACGATGGTTTTGTGATGCAAATGTATCACTCTTTTGAACACATGTTGCTTTGAGAAGAAAAACGCTTTAGTAAACAGTCCCCACACAACTTGCCGAACTACTTTCCTCAGCACCAAAACGGGCCAGTATCTCGGCTCACCGGACGCTTTCGGGGGTAAGTCGGTGTGGATGCACAACACTGATGACGGGGATGACATACAGATTTATGTCAAAAAATCCGAACTATCCCTTTAAGGTCAGCAGCCTCCAGGAAACTTCCAAATGATCTAAAAAGACACAAAATAGAGTCAATCGTTTGTGTTTTGTTTGTGCTGCAAAAAGGTTCCTTTGTGTGATTCGGATTCTTAAGAAATTAACAGTTTTATTTTCGTCCAGCTCCTCCAAATGTTAAACAGCCTCAAAACACCAGAAAATTATACGAAATATTTGTTTCAATTATTATTGTTATTATTATATATTATTATTTTTACGGAAATTATAATGTCATTTCCGCTCATCTGACGGCAGCGGTTTTAAAACTCTCACGCTCTCCTCGGGGTCACATTGACCCGAAGACATTTTTTTCCCTTCCCGCTCTCTTGGTGTGGGTCAATCTGACCCAAAAATAAATTTCTGGGCCGGAATAATTCTAACTGGAACTGATGCTGAGTCTGACGACAGCGACACAGAAGAGGAAGCGTCGCTCTGTTTACCTCCGGAGGTCGTGGAGTTGTTCAGAAGTGACACCGAGGATGAAGAATTGAATGGATTTAGTGATTTGGAGTGAGATGGAGAGTTTGTTAAACTTGTTCTGTTCTGTTGTTTATGTTATAGTTTATCTGAAGAACTGTTCATATGTGACGTTAACAGTCTGTTGTTCTCTCTTCTATTGTTTTTACTACAACTTGACTGAAAACAGGAAATGTCGGTTCCTGGTCTCCAATTTTATAAAATGCATTTCCCCCCAAAAAGTGCGACTTATATGTTTTTTCTTCTTCATTACGCATTTTTTGGCTGCTCCAACTTATAGTCTGAAAAACACGGTATACACATATACGTCATCAACCCAAAATAAAACTATTAATCTCTTAAGAACCAGAATCACACAAATGAAACTTTTTGCAGCACAAACGAAGCACAAATGATTGACTCCATTTTGTGCCATTTTGAAGTTTCCTGGGGACTTGATCTAATAAAAGAATCTTTAATATCTCCAAAACTAAAACAGCACAAAGAAACTTTTTGCAGCACAAACGCTGACATAGTTTTTGTGTAGGTTTGCGTCTGATGGGGCCAACTCGCACAAATGAAAACCGTCACAGCACAAAACAGCACAAACGAAATACAAATGTTTCGTATAATTTTCTGCCCGTCTTGAGACTATTTAACATTTTGAGGACCTGGATGACGTTCGGAAACATGCGATGAAACTTCCGGTGTAGTTCCCTGACTCTGGGCTCGCGATCAAACCCACTGAAGTAAATGTGATCAGCGGTAAAATGAAGACTGCAGACGTATGTGCTGTTTGGAATCATCTGGAATTTGGCGTCTCGTCTCTTCTAATCACACGTACCCAGTGCACTCGGAGTTTTGCGTCAGTGTGGAAATGATGAAAACTGAGGTGTGGCTCTAATTGTTGATTTGCCAAACGTAACGGAACTCTAAAATGACATGGAGATGAAGAAAACTGGGACATTTTCTCATTTTTCATAGATTTTGTCTGTATGTTCCAGCTGGCGTTTGGGTTCGGGAAGCTCGATTGCGAGATAGGGCCATGCGTCTCTCACCAGCTCGTGCTCCAGTTCCCCCGTCCCCAGGTACAGAGAGGCCATCACCACTCTCCTCTGAGCTGTTCTGATCCGCGCCTGAAACAAACATCGAAACAGTTTATTACACAAACAGAACGAAGGATTTCACACGAAGAGTTTAGTCCATTTAAATCAGGCCACAATAAAAAGTCCTTAAAAACTGCATTTGTAACACTTATACAAATATCGATATATCGTATCGTTTAATGTGATGATACAGTATCGATATCGTGGGCTGCTGTATCGATATATCACCAAGAGTATTTGTTGTTATATTTTACTAAATCATTTTGTTACAGCTACAGTTTTGTTGTTTGTTTAGTGGAAGGAAACTCGTTTATGTGACACATTTGACATTTTCACTGTTTTGATGATTAAAGTGTTTGTGTTTCATATTAAGTTTGCACAAGAAGTGGTTTAACTAAAGACTTTTAGTGTCACAGACATGATTTTAATTTTTTTTTTTTATTGAACCGTATCGAATCAGTTTGAAATATATCGTACTGAATCGTATCTACTGGAAATCTCACTGTATCCTTGTACTTCTACAGTGCTTTTCCACCTTCAAGGAACAGCCAAGAAATCAAAAAAATAAAAATTACGCTGCACAGTACCACGAACAGCTGCATGGCGCTTCGTTGTGACGGCGTTTACTGCGACACCAGCTCACATAGATGAATATTATGATTTTAAATGTGCAGATTATAAGAAAATGAGCCACGGGCGTCACAGATTATAAAAATTCACCAAACACAAGAACAACAGGTGTTGTTAAAAGCTGCACTAAGCAAGTTTTGGTTCGTCACCTGTTGGTTCTATGGAGATGTAATTTCTTTAACTGGAATGTTCCACAGTGTGACATTAAACGACTCTACTTTACATTTATTCAATTACAGGTGGTTTTAAAGCTCAAAAATACTTAGAAAAACAAGTGTTCTGACTGTGAGCGGCTGCTCCACAGATCTGACTTGTAAAGGGCGACGTATAGTTCTGTGTCGACTCATCGCACACTAAACAACGAGCACAAAGGGCGAGCTGGTTTTGTTTTGTTTTTTCAGCTCTAGGTTTATGCAAATTAGCCATGTGGTTTTAAGTTTTGTTGTAAAACATAAACAACTGTGCGCAAAGTTGTGTTAAAGACATTATTACTAGGGATGGGCATGATTAATCGATTAATCGATCATTGATCATTAAGAATTTCATCGATTACGTTAATTTTAATCGACAAACTGAATGTATGTTGCTGTGTGTGTCGTGACCAAACAGGTGTGTACATGTGTCTCTGCATCAGAAGGAGCGAGACACAAACAGTGGGTCAGTCTGTAACGAACCGAAGCACAAATGTGGATTTAACCAGGATTTGTACAAGAAATTCCACACTTTCCGTTGCGTTGGGACAAGTGTGAGTCCATGTGCACAGTGTATAAAGCAGCACATATGTTTCTGTGTCCAGTGGGAAAAAGTTTTTCCAGGTGAGAGTCGCTCAATGTGGATGACGAGGCCCCGCCCCCCTCCCCCCGTACGCTGTCCTGGTTTTGACAAACGCAAATCTGGTCACACTGACCTGTATTCACCTGAGTCATGTCTTTTAATCCAACAGAAGTTGAACCACATCAGCGACACAAGAGCTGGAGTTTTATCTTCACTTAGTTTATGTAAATTAGTGATGTGGTTTTAAGTTTTGTTTCTGTGAGTTGAACAAAACTGAATTAAACACATTATAATGTCAAACAGCTGATGTGGCTCTAGAGTCGTTACGTTTATATGTCGTAAAGTTGAATTTATTAATGCAGATTAGTGCAGATAGTGATAATAATGATGATCATTTTAATATAAAAACGTTAATGATTAATCGATAATTGATCGTTAATTCTTCCGACGATCGATTAAGAAAATTTCATCAAATGCCCATCTCTAGTTAAACACATTATTACTCAATGTCTATTGAAAGAAAGGAAAGTGAAGAACAGGAAATGTGTAGAGCGGAGGTAGAAATGAAGTTATTGTCCTTCTCCTTATGGGATTTGGTGCATTACATACGTCACGACTAAATAGCAGCAACTGGTTAAATAATAAAAGTACCCGCCTACTGTCGAGTGAACGAATCACAACGCTGCGAGGTCAGATGGTTTCTACGAAGTGAAACTGTCTGATGAATCAGATTAACCTTTAAGCCTGAACTTGAGTATTTTTGTGAACATTCTGTGCTTTTAAATCAAATCAAATCAAACTGAAAACACCTTGCCTTTATTTTTACCAGGAAAGGAAAAATTTTGTTTATTTTTCTACCTCGTCCGAGCTCCAACTTTACATTAGAATAATTTTTTTTATTATTATATTATATTATATTTTATTATATTATATTAAGTTGACCTATGTAACTACATTAAACTGCGAACAGTAAAAACAAGATTAAACAAACTAATTAAAATGATTCACTTCACACCCAGACACACACTCATAAATCTACACACTGACACACCTAAACACACACACACACACACAGACACACACACACACACACACACACACACACACACACACACACAGACACACACACACACACACAGAGATAGTTTTGACAGGCTGGTGGGAGCTTGAGTTGCTGTAACTTGATCCAAATGGAGATCAGTGCCAAGAAAAAGACTCAGCCCATTAACCACATGTTACCGACATAAACACGACACACGCCCAACTTCCCCAGCGTGTTATTCTAAATCACGTGAACGCCATTAAAGCTGCACCGTGGAACTTTTCAGCTGGAGGGTCCATACAAATGCTTTTGTACATGGAGATGTGACTGTTTTGTCTGGAATGTTAAACCTGCGTACACACAGTATTGGTATTGTTTAGACCTGGTTTAGACCTGGTTTAGACCTGGTTTAGACCTGGTTTTGGACCTGGTTTAGACCTGGTTTAGACCTGGTTTAGACCTGGTTTTGGACCTGGTTTAGACCTGGTTTTGGACCTGGTTTTAGACCTGGTTTTGGACCTGGTTTAGACCTGGTTTAGTCCTGATTTTGGACCTGGTTTAGTTCTGGTTTAGACCTGGTTTTGGACCTGTTTTAGTCCTGGGTGTGCACCTGGTTTTGGACCTGGTTTAGGACATGGTTTAGTCCTGATTTTGTTCTGGTTTAGATCTAGTTTTGGACCTGGCTAAGACCTGGTTTAGTCTTAGTTTTGGGCCTAGTTTTAGTTCAGGTTTAGACCTGGGTTTGGGCCTGGTTTTGGGCCTGGTTTAGTCCTAATTTTGTTCTGACTTAGTCTTGGTTTAGGACATGGTTTAGTCCTTATTTTGTTCTGGTTTAGACCTGGTTTTGGACCTGACTAAGACTTGGTTTAGTCTTAGTTTTGGGCCTAGTTTAGTCCTGATTTAGTTCAGGTTTAAACCTGGTTTTGGGCCTGGTTTTGGTCTGGTTTAGTCCTGATTTAGTCCTAGTTTAGGTCCTGTTTTAAAGTTGCATTGTGTAAGTTTTCTGGGTCTGTCAAAAGCTTTTCTCCATGGAGATGTTATTGCTTCATCTGGGATGTTTCGCAGTGTGGCATTAAACCTTTCTATCTTCACGGAGACCAAACCAGACCAAGTTACAGGTCAGATCTGTGGAAAGGCGACGCCACTCACAGTCAATATGTCTGTTTTTTCTAGGTATTTTTGAGCCATAAAACCATCTGTAATTGAATAAATGTAAAGTCACACTGCGGAACATTCCAGGCAGAGTGATGTAACATAATTTATATAGTGCACCTTTAAACTGAGGGGTTAATAAGGACTAAACCAGGTCTAACCAGGACTGAAGCAGGACTAAACCCGGACAAGACTCTAACCCACAGCTTCCTAGACTCTGTTTGATGAGTCCTTAAATAACAGGTTAAATGAGGACTAAAAATCAGGTCTAACGAGGACACAAAGCTGGTACTGGATCAGGACTAGACCAAGATCAAACCAGGACACAAAAATATGTTTTAGTTCATAATAAGTTTGAGAAGAAATATCGTATTATGATCATTCTGCATCGAGGTTCAGCTCAAACTGTAAATGTGTACACACGATTCTGGACCTGGTTTTGGACCTGGTTTAGTCCTGATTTTGTTCTGGTTTAGACCTGGTTTTGGACCTGGTTTAGGACCTGGTTTAGATGTTTTTTTGGACCTGGTTTAGGACCTGGTTTAGGACCTGGTTTAGGTTTTAGGACCTGGTTTTGGACCTGGTTTAGGACCTGGTTTTGGACCTGGTTTTGGACCTGGTTTTGGACCTGGTTTTGGACCTGGTTTAGTCCTGATTTGGGTCTTGGTTTAGTCCTGGCTTAGTCTTGGTTTTGGGCCTGGTTTAGTCCTGGTTTGGGTCCAGGTTTAGACCTGGTTCAGTCCTGGTTTAGTCCTGCCTGGTTTAGAGACGTGAAAAGGAGGAGACAGGCTAACCACTCTGCCACAGTAAGACCTGGTTCAGTATTGGTTCAGTTCTGGTTTAGACCTGGTTTAGTCCTGGTTTAGACCTGGTTTAGACCTGGTTTAGACCTGGTTTAGACCTGCTTTAGTCCTGGTTTAGTCCTGGTTTAGACCTGGTTTAGACCTGGTTTAGACCTGCTTTAGACCTGCTTTAGTCCTGCTTTAGTCCTGCTTTAGTCCTGGTTTAGACCTGGTTTAGTCCTGGTTTAGTCCTGGTTTAGACCTGGTTTAGACCTGGTTTAGACCTGGTTTAGACCTGGTTTAGACCTGGTTTAGACCTGGTTTAGACCTGGTTTAGTCCTGGTTTAGACCTGGTTTAGACCTGGTTTAGTCCTGGTTTAGACCTGGTTTAGACCTGGTTTAGTCCTGTTTAGACCTGGTTTAGACCTGGTTTAGACCTGGTTTAGACCTGGTTTAGACCTGGTTTAGTCCTGGTTTAGACCTGGTTTAGACCTGCCTGGTTTAGTCCTGGTTTAGACCTGGTTTAGACCTGGTTTAGTCCTGGTTTAGTCCTGGTTTAGACCTGGTTTAGACCTGGTTTAGTCCTGGTTTAGACCTGGTTTTAGTCCTGGTTTAGTCCTGGTTTAGACCTGGTTTAGACCTGGTTTAGA